CCCACCGTCACAGCGGTGCCTTATCAGTTGAGGTGGTTCTGCCTGTGCTTCTGAGTGCAGCCCGGACTATAGGAGGTTGTCTGTCTCCTCCAGGAGGGTGTCTGTCTCCTCCAGGAGCCAGCCCTATCATGCTGCTGGGGAGGGTCAGACCCTGACGAAGGGCTTGAGAGACAGCTGGTAGGTGAAGGAGGATGATTGTCTCATGAATTCAGCTCTACAAAGCATGGACTACGGACGACCGAAGAAGACTTGGTGCATTAGAATTGTGGTTATACATCTACATATAACAACAGAAAAGTGGGTGAAGGGAGACCTCGGGCAGTGTAAGATATGACAAAACAATAATAATTTATAAATTATCAGGGGTTCATGAGGGAAGGGGAAGTGGGGAGGGAGGGGGGAAATGAAAAAAATGAGGAGCTGTTATCAAGGGCTCAAGTAGAAAGCAAATGTTTTGAGAATGATGATGGCAACAAATGTACAAATGTGCTTGATCCACTGGATGGATGGATGGATGGATGGATGGATGGATTGTGATGAGAGTTGTACATGCCCCCAATAAAATGATTTAGTTTAAAAAAAAGAATGCAGTCTTCAGAATGGATTAAAACTCAACGTAAAACAAATCCTCAGAACTAGACCAATAAACAATATCATGATAAACAAAAACCAAAAAGAATGGTGGTGGTGGTGACTATTGAAAGTACCATGGACTGCCAAAAGGACAATCCAATCGATCTTGGAAGAAGTACGGCCAGAGCGCTCCTGAGAGGCAAGGGGGCCCGGACTTCCTCTCACATACTTTGGACATGCTGTCAGGAGAGTCCAGTCCCTGGCAAAGGACGCCATGTTCGGTAGAAGGGCAACAAAAAAGGAGGAGACCTTCCACACTGAGGATGGCACAGGACCGGGCAGTGGTCCCCCCTGTTGTGCACGGGTTGCTATGGGCTGGAACCAGGTGGATGACCCGTGACGACGACAACAGGCGCAGGCGGCCCGGTTTAGAGAAGAAGCTGAAATGGAGGTGGGCTGTCACCGTGCCACGGTTCTCCCAACGGGAGTGTGGGGGTGAACCGTAAATGTGATGAGATTGTGTTGACTTTTAAAGGGGAAATCACCCCATGAGCCGCACAGATTTGGAGCCAGAGGCCAGAGACAGAAGACACCAGAGAGATGAACAACACGAGCGGAAGAAATGCGCCCTTGTTGCCTGTGGAGATGGAGCGGGCCACACAGCAAGGGATGTGAGCAGCTCCGGGGATGGACAGCCAGGGAGGAAAGAGGGCCGTCAGTTTTAAAACCACAAGGAACTGACACCGGCCAACAATGTGAATGAGCTTGACAGTGGATTCCTCCCAACTGTCCCAGACCAAAAAGCACCGGCAGCCTGGTCACAGCCATCGCAGAACCGGCCTCAATCTTACCTGGACTGTTGTGAGCGCCTAATCAGGTGGGGTCCCAAGTTCTTATGAGTGAGGCGATCCGTGACTCCACAACCAATCACTAACCGCCCCAGTGGGAATCGGAACCCAGGTCTGAGTTATCCAAAAGCACCTGCTCTTTCCACTGGCCCACCTGGCCATCCCATTGCCTCTGGGATTCAGAAAGGACATTGGGGTCCTAGAGATTGGCTACAGTATCAACATCAATGATGGAGGGGGTGGGGCATAAATGCCCTCCTCTCTCAGCAAACTGAAGACCCCTGGTTCATAAACTGAACCCCATGGACTCAGAATCCCTGTTCTCATGCCCACTCACTCCCCCTGGCTCATGATCTGGAGCCCCACAGACTCAGAATTCCTGGCATCACCCCCACTTCCATCTAAGGAAACCAAGACTCGGGGAGGGGACACAAGTCATCGAAGATCACTGGACACGTTCATGACCGGACCTGTCACTCTGCAACCCCAAACAGCCAAGCGCACTGCCGTGGAGTCGGTCCCAGCTCACAGTGCCGTGCAGGGCAGGGCAGACTGGCCCTCGAGGGTTCCCAAGGTTGTGATCTGTACAGAAGCAGACTGTGGAGCAGCAGGGGGCTCACGCTGCCAACCTTCTGAGCGCTTCAGCCCTGTGCCACCAGGGTTCCTTCAGTGCTCCCTACCTGTGCTTCTAAGTGCACACCATACTATATAGGGGGATCTATCTACTCCAGGGCACAGCCCCCTCAATCTGTGTTTGCCTTCCACCCTCGTCTCCCCACTGACTCCTCCACCAGAACCTGTTCTTTTCCAGACAGACTCTCCCAGGAGCCACGACAGGTGAGTCACTCACCTGGCCTGAGACAAGCCCTTCTTCCAAGCTGGTAGCCACTAGCCCAATTGCCCCGGATGCTAAGCAAGATGTGCTTTCTAGCCCCTTCCACCAAGGCCCCAGGAGCCCCAGCCTCCGGCCCTCCCCCAGAGGCCTGGAGACCCAGTCCCTCCAGCTCCCACCCCACCCACCACGGGTACGAAGCAGCAAAGCAGTGGCATGCATGATGTGCGGCAAAGAAAGGTGACACGACAGAGACACGGTGGCAGAGGAAGGACATGGTTTGGGGGGTTGGGGTTTTTAATGTTCTGCCTTTTTATTGAGCAAGGGGGCGAGAGCATGCAATGGGGTGGGGGAGCATGTTGACATGAGATGACAATTACAGGCTTTGTAATGGAAGGCAAAGCCAAGGAGCCCCCACCCCCACCCTAAGGTGCAATTCGTGACCCAGCCCAGACAACAGAGGGGAGTTCGCAGAAGACCTGGTGGCCACCTGAACTCTCATTTCCTGGGAGAGGGCGGCCTTTGTGCGGGCAGGCAGGGTGCACAGTGCCTCCATCTGGTCCCTTTCCCCACTGCCCCATCATAGTCCCTCTCCTCCCCCACGAGATAGGCCTTCTGCCCTCCAACGTCTCCAGCGCCCCCTAGCTGCTAACTCCGGTGGGCACTCAACTCCTGCAGTCTTCGATGTTTCTTTCCCGGGTCAGGATGAGCTGTGCTTCCGGGACTCCAAGCTCTCCCGCCTCTCATGCACTAGAGGTCCCTGGTTTGGTCACCCAAAGGTCGATGTGAAGGGCCAGGGGCTTCCTACAGCTTGTGAGTGTGCGGAGTGAGGGATGATGTGGATGCCAAAGGCACCCCAGAGCAAGGGAAGAGAGAGATGGAGGTGGGTCACCAGGCTCTTAACAGTCCATTGGCCAGAACGAGTCACAGGACCCTAACTCAACGGCACAGGAGTCTGGGAATGGAGCGGTACACGTGGAATATTGAATGAACACCACCTAGCTCCACGGCCACGCTGCTGGCCACCATTCATGGCCTTGCCTCCCCTCCTCAGAGATAGCTCTTAGCTCTTCTCTCTTCCCTTGAATCCAACATTCCTCTCAGTGGTCTTCTCCCTTTGTTGTCCCATCCCCCTCCTCTCATCTGCCCTCTTTCTCTCTGAAGTTCTCGTCCATGTTCGCAGCTTCACAACCACTTCTGTGTGAATGAACCTCTAAAGTCTCTCCCTTTCCATAACTCAGAATGACTCAACCCTGCTTTTGAACGAAAGCTCCATGGTATCAGACTGGGACTGTTCGTGTGTGCTTCTATACTCCCGTGCCTAAAACAAGAATAGTTTAGATCTCTCTCTTCTCTCTCTCTCTCCTTTGCGTCACATTTTCAACTTCCTGTGTTAGGAGCTGGAGGAGGGAGGAGAACCTAGACTAAGAAGAACTTGACTGTTTTCCTTCATCATACACTAGAACTCTAAGACCAACCCACTTCTCTTTTTTGCTTCATTTGTTGTCAATAAAGAGTAACCACCTACATTTGTTGACATGCCTATGTGTGCCATTAGGTTGTGGGATCTTTCTGCCTCTGACGTGAAAGAGGTCTTGTCATCAATGTTTAGGGAAGACCTACTAGGTGTCTGACTTATGAGAATGAAGGACCTGTGGGATATGGGTGGGTGGTTGACCAAAGGACCTGTGGGATATGGGTGGGTGGTTGACCAAAAGATCAATAAGACATGGGTGAAGACATGATGTATTTAGCATCCACCACTATTAACCTAGGTATGTGGTCTCAGCTCATACTGTGTAACTAGGAGAGCGCCCAAGTGTTCTTTGGCTTCCTCCTTCCTAAACGTCCTCACTAAAGTAGGCCAACCTTCAGGAGAACAGGGTGAATAGGTTCCCCCCCAGGAGTCTGAGGGCCAAGCCTGGACCTGCCACAGATAAGCGTGAAATGTCTTTGATATCTCAAATTTTATCATAAAAAATTCATAGACATTTTGCATTCTATTTCATAATATATTCATGACTATTTTCATCTAAAATATTTTTCAACTACCGAACTTGCCTCCCATTCCAAATCTCTAAGCAAAATGGATGCCCCAGGCTGGGGACCCCTTGGAATTCACAAAGCCCATTGTGAGAAGTGAAGATCTGGTCCCAACCCTTCGTTTCCTAAGGGAGGAAGCGGAGAGACCACGTGGCTGGCCGGAGACAGCATGACTAGGGGTCGGGCCAGCACCAGAAGCCTGAGCCTTCTCCAAACCCAGGGCTCGTTTGCTCCCTTCATTCCTTCATGAAGGCTTGCAACCCTTGATGCTGGAGAAGCGGCTTCAGGCTCCAGATGGAGAGTGAGTTAGACGTGGCCCACCACTTCATGCCACTCACTGGTCGGTTCATGGCCCGAAAGGTGTGCTTACGGAATCACCCAGAGTTGGGGTACTCCAAAGTTCCTCAAAAAACGGATGAGTAAAGCATAGTTCTCTGTGCCCTTTCGGGCGTAACCTCGTCATGGACTGCTGGGAAATTCAGGAAATTGAATTCTCCTATTTTAAGCTGAGCAGTGCGCTAACATGAAGCCAGTGGCTGGAAACTCCTTACAATGTCCTACAATGACCTGGCCCCTGCCTCTTTAGCCTCGTCCTGGACCACAGCGTCCTCGTCTGCCAGGCCCTGAGCACCTGATCTTTCTGCTCTCTTTGAATGGTTACCCCCACCCCCACCCCCACCCTACCCCGGGCATTCATCCCTCAGCCTGGAAAGCTCTCCCTGCCTAGACCACGTGCTTTGACCAACTCTTTCTCACCTCCTCAGAGAGAAGGCCTCCTTAGTCTACCCTCCTTGCAAAGCTTCCCCACCTCAGCACTGTAGTCCTTTCCTCTCTGCAGGCTTTCTGACCCTTGTGTTTGTGTGATTGTTTACAACAATGCCCCTATTCTCCGCCCTTCCTTGAAGCCACATGACTTTGTCATTTCTTTCACTGGCAAGATGGAGATCATCCCCCCAACCTCCATCCCTTAAATCTAAGCTTTCTTTGTGATCTTTTCGGGGGGTGGGGGGCAATGAGTCTTGACCTCAAGGGCCTTATGTGTTTCCCTTTGCTCCCTTGCAAGCTCTGTCGCTGCCAGGGCGTCACAACCACACCAGCCTGCTGGTGATGAGAGCTATGTGACCACCCCACTCATCCCTGCCTAAGCCACTGTGGGGTGACCGGCAGGAGCCCACCCACAGGCAGGTGTGGGAGCCCAGCCAAGATCAACAGAGCCTCCCAGATGACCCTACAGGCATGAGCAACAAACACTCGTATGCCACGGAACATGCATGGTTTTGTTGTTATACTAACAGGTACAGTTTGCCGACTTATCAGCTGTCCGCCTTAGACTATTAACTCCACATTCTAGTCACCAATACCTGGTAGGTAGTAGGTGCTCAATAAATGAGCTCCACGAAGGCGACTTCCTGATGCGCAAGGCTGGGCTTGGGCTTACTTTCTTGCTCTATCTCTGCACACAGTAGAAGAGGCTAAGCCTAACTTCCAGGATGACTTTCCAGGTTTGCCCAGGTCAAAGTGTATACTGTCCTCTCCCTCCACCCTTGGCCCTGGGATGGCCCTGGGCTGCAGCTGCAGAAGAGGGAAGCATAACATGTAGGGAAGTTCCTAGAGAGGTCTGATCACCTTGACAATGACCCGGAGGTCTACCACTCCTTGTCCCCTGAGTAAAGACATCAGCCCCTTGAAAAGTTGCCCCTCAGCAGTCCATTTCTTTTGACCTCTCTAGGGGCCATAGGCCAAGTTCTCTGTTCCCACCAGCTCCCTATTCCCCCAGAAAGTGAGGGGGCTTCGGCAAGTTCATGGGAACATTCCATGATCTCTTCATTCCATTTCCCGTGAACGTTCAGGAGCCAGTGGGAGAAGGAGTTGGGGAGGCAGGGAGGAAGAGAGAGCCCCCCACCCTCAGGTAACAGTGATTTGAAAAACTAAGCTCGGTGGCAGAGAGATCCGAGGTGCCACAGCTGAGACCAGCAGCAGTTCAGCTAGAGGGAAGCTCTGCGACTAGCCCATCGTCCTCAAACTCACTTAGTCTAACACCTCCTTTGTAGAAAAAGAAATGATATCTATGTACTCAGCACCCCCAGCCCCACCCCGGCCAATGGAAACTTTTGAACTACTGCCCCACCATCTAAGAGAAGTGTCGGCATACACTTTTGCAGCCCCTGTCAGATCCTTCTAGCACCTCCCCCTTCTGAAGAGGGGGGTGCATCATCCACTTTGGGAAACAGTGAACTTGTCCCTTCAGGGGTCCCTCTAAGAGCATTTTAGAAGCAGAGTCTAAGTTGTAAGCATGGAGCAAGGAGCTTCATAAAATTAAACTAGACCCACATCCCTTGAGGATGAGGGGATGCCTGTTTACTGTCTCCCAAATCAGACCAGGCTGTTTCCAGTTCTCACTATGAGGAAGTAGGATAGGCTGTCACCAGCACCTGAGCCAGGTGACACTCCCTCCCTAAGCAGCCCTGCCCCTCGGTGAGTTGACGTGTGAGCCCCCACTCTGGGAGCTGGGTTGGGAAGTCAAGCCAATGCAGGATGTGAGCGGGATGTAGGATGAATCTGGTGACCTCACTGCCCCATGAGGGGGGAAGTTGGAGAAAGGACCATGACGCTGACCCTACCTTTCTTGACTTGCCTTCCCCATGGGTCTGTCCCCCATCCCACCCCACCAACTGCCAAGGCTGCACAGTTATTGAGGAGGCGGCTCCTGTTTGAGTTGGCTCCTCCGGTCCAGCTTGCTCATGACCTGGGTGATGTCCACGGTGTTGGCCTCTTCTCGAGCCTTGGCTTCTTCTTCCAGCTGCCTCAGGATGACGGGGCTGGGGCTGGAGCGGAGGTGGCGGCGCATAAATGGGAGGCTTGAGCTGGAACAAAAGACAGGGTGATGGTTAGCAGAAAGCACCCCCTGCTTACCCAACAGGAATTCAGGGACTCCTGGTGGGGCTGGGGTTGGAAGGTCAGACCTGGAACGGTTCCTCTCTCTCTCTCCAGGAGAAACTGGAGGGGAGGGGGTCTTCAGTGGGTGTGTCCAACCTTTGCTTTTCACCCCGCTCCACCCCACCTTGGGGGAATGTGACTGTGACCTGAGTGAGCACCAATGGTCCTCAGATTTTTCTGAGCATTCGGTGGCATAAATGATGAATGCCCTCAGCCGGCTGCTAACCAGGAGGTCGCTGGTTTGAGTGCACCAGAGGCAGCTCCATAGAAAAAGCCTACAATCAACTTCCGGAAAATCTGGACATCCCTGGACATCCGTGGAGCACAGGCTACTCTGAGCCGATTGAGGTCTCTGTGAGGCGGGGAGGTAAGACTCTTCTGCTGGAGAAGACTACCCATAGCCCCTCGCAGGATCAAGACATCACCTTGGTTTCTTAAGTTCCTGTAGGCTGAGGGCACCAGGAGGAAGTCGGTTACTGAAAGCCTAGTGTTCATGTCTCAAGGCGAGAGTTGGCCCTTCGGTTTCCAAGAAGGCAGAAGAGGCTGCCCCAGGGGCCCCGACAGAAGACTCCAGAAGAAAGCAGTCTGGAGACAGGTGAGGAGCTCGACTTGTACCCCACTCACACACCCGGGTTTGGGCCTGATTATCATCTCTGGCTGCAAGCAAACAGCTTCCCGGGACCCAATTCTCTCTACCGTGACCTTGGGAGCCAAGGTCTTGGGGCCTGAGCTCTGCAAGGGCTGCAGGCAGCAGAGCACCCATCTCTTTGAAGAGCCCCAGAGGCTTGGAAAACAAGGCTTGCAATGGCAGACTGCAGACCCTGGAGACAGCAAATGTCCAGGCTCTGGGATCTCCCCAAGAGAGGTGCAGTCCTACCTCGTGTTGGCTTTGCCCCCCAAAGGAGAGGCTTGGAGCTAGAAGTAACTGGCCCAGGGAAACTCCCATACCACATACTTACACCTGAGGCACATGGACCAGATGGAGCCCTGGTGGCAAAGTGGGCTACGCATCCAGCTGCTAACCACAACAGGGTCAAGTGTTTGAACCCACCAGTTGACCCAAGGGAGAAAGAGACTTGAAAGATTTAAAGTCTCGGAAACCCAAAGGGGCTGTTCTATTCTGCCTTATGGAGTTGCTGTGAGTCGGAATCCACTCAAAGGGACGCTATTTTGGAGCTTAGCCACCACCACCACCCCCAGGTGCGGCCCCCAAGGCTCATACGACACCAGAGTGAATCACCAGCCTTCCAGGTCCCACACCGCAGCCAAGGTTCAAGGGTCCGATGCCACCCCAACAGGCAAAGCAGCAGGTTGGCAGGGTCCAGGAAAGACCCTAACTGAATCCTCGCATCTGCCCCAACATAAAAATTATCTGGAGAACAGTGTGAGACACGCCCCACCCTCCTTCCCCACAGCTTTCTGACCCAACGTTGGAGCTTCCAGGTCCTTCCTGGTGATTGAAAGGAGAGGCTTCCAAGTCCCCAGGGGCACTGCATGCCCTTCCTTCCTCACAAACGTCGTAGACCGGCCCCACAAAGGCCTCCTTCTCCTCCTCCTCACAGCAGAGCCATTATCCTCAAGAAGCAAAACCCAGTTGGGTTGGGGTGGTAGATTTTTTTTTTTAAGATCCTCGGATAAAGGCTCTGGTCCAGCCATCCCCCCTATTTTGAATAGACAAAAGACACTGGCAAAGAGCCCAGCGGGGGCCGAGCCAGCCAACGGAGGGACATTTACCAAACACGGGGCACAAGCACGCAGCCTGTGCCATGGAGACCTCTGCCAGAGCCCTTGTCTTTGTTCAGGCTGTCATTTGGTTACTCTGTGGAATCCTCACCCCCCGTGGAGATTTTTGGCTGGTTGGTTGGCTTGTTTTCAAAACAAGAAGAGCTCACACTGCCCCGTGGAACATGATTTCATCCACTTGTCCAGTGGTTCTGCAAGGTGGGAAGATTCCCATCCAGTGCCGAAGGTTAAGACCAGACGAGTTAACAGCCTTGCTGAAAGGCGGTCTTTGGAGGCAACATGTATACATAGGCTGCTGCTGTTGGTGTACATGCTAGAAATAGTCTAGCATTTTCTCTAGGAGCACCTGCTGCAGTTCTCCCTAAGTGCTCAAATCATGACCAGGATAGAGGGAGGACGTGAAATCAAACTCCATGAATCTGTTGGAAGTGGAGACAGGTTGGCCACTGAGATGCTGGTGTTTATGACCAGGGCACTGATCAGCCTGATCCATCCGCCCACAGCATGAGGGAAACCAAAGGTTTGGGCAGGAAGGATGTGGGGAGTCTGCTAGAGTGAGCCAGGGCATTCGGAGGCAAAGCAGGCACCCACTTCCAGTGCCCACTAAGGCCCTTCAGCTAAGGCCTCCATCGTGGTCCCCTGACCGTCCTCTGTGAGCAGATAGCCAGCAGCCAGTGACCCCAGGTACTCCACTCACCTTCTCTTGGAACTCCCCTGCGGCTCAATTGCCTTGGCCAACATCTCCTTGTAGATTGGAGACTTTAAGTAGCGCGCATACGAATCCTAGGGGGGTTCGAACGATCAAAAAAAAAAAAAAAAACCAGAAACAATCATGACAAGAGAGAGGGTGCTTACTTACATGACCCAACCTGACCCAGCAACAGAAGATAAAGTAGCTCCTCCTGCGAAGGGCGTTTCGCCCGGACCCAGGGCAGCAGTTCTCAGGAGCGGTCCTTGGACCATTTCACCTGGGAACACCTTAGAATCCAAAACACTAGGGATAGAACCCCTGGGTGGTGCGAGCAGCGAAGGGCTCAGCTGCTGGCTGAAAGGTTGGTGATTCAAGTCCATCCAGGGGCACAACATTTCGTTACACTGCGCATGGACATGGGCTCTGCAGCAACTATAACCTAACCACCACTGAACCCCAAACCCTGACTTATAGCGACCCTACAGGACGGGGTGCAACTGCCTGTGAGTCCCCACGGCCAGTCCTCTCCACAGAAGCACACGGCCACATCTTTCTCCCACGGACCGGCTGGTGGATTCAAACTGCCAAACTCGGAAGCTCCTGCGGGTTCCAGCTCGGTGGCTGGTGGAAGGCAGTTCACGAGGACACCACGTGTGCCCCGGCAGGAGGGAGGGGCTTCCTGGCAGGCACGTCCCGATGGGCCCTGCTTACCTTCTTCATGAGCATGTAGATGTGGGTCTGCGCAGCATCCAGCACGTAGCGGTGGGGATGCCGTAGCCCCTTGACCGTGATGTCCATGGTCTTGCCGTCTATGTTTATCCATCGTCTCGCCCCTGGGGCCAGGAAGAGCCTGGGGGCAGGGGCAGGAAAATGTTAGCCAATGTGGCTACATCCAAGTGACTTCGTGAAAAGCGGCATGGAAGGGAGGGGTTGACGTGGCCCAGATCAGCCAGGGTGGGGCCCTTCTTAGGCGCCCTCATAGTGTAGTGGTAATGCACCGGTTTGCTAACTGCAAGATCAGCAGCTCAAAACCACCAGCCACTCCGTGGGAGAAAGACGAGGCATTCTACTCCCATAGAGCAACGTTCTTAGAAACTCACAGGGTCCTTTCGACCCTGTCCTATAGGGTTACTGTGAGTCAGGCTCCACTCGATGGCAGGGGGCTGGTTTGAGACCGATTTTGAAGGAGCCCTGGTCGGGTAAATTCAAGGCCAGCCATTGGCACCTTCTTCTGGAGGTCCTGAGCACCACTGGAGATTGGATTGAAAGCAACATCCCTCAGTGGCATCTTCTGTAAACTGAGGAGCCCTGATGGCATAATGGGTTGCTGACTAGGCTGCAGACCCCAAGGTCAGCAGTTCTCAACCACCAGCCCCATCCTTGTCAAGTTCACAATCTCAGAAACCCGCAGGGGCAGTTCTACGCTGTCCTGTGGGTCACCGTGAGTCGGAACCCACACCAGGACAGTGGGCTTGGATGATCTTTGTTTTGTTTTCAAAGATTTTTGCAGATGGTTTACATGCTTAGCTGCTCACCTAAAGTTTCCTGGTACCTCGGAAGAAAGGCCTGGTGACCTGCTTCCAACCCTCAATCACCCAAAACCCTACAGAAGATGGTTCTACTCAGATGCCATCAGGATGAGCTGCCTCGGTGGCCGTGTGTGGTGGTGGGAACATGTTGAACACGTTCTGAAGCACTGTTTCCTGAAAGCAAGAGAACAGGCCTGCTGGTTTGTGAATATGAGTGCTTAGCCTGGCTGCTCCCAGCCTGTAGGAGGGGGAGCGAGAAGGGGGAGCTCGTCCAGGCTGGCTCTGGTGGGACAATAAGGGGAAGAACCCCACCTCCGTCTGATTATCTTCCGTCTCCTTGCTCATCGGCCTTCCAGGGAGCAACCCAGCCCTCCCTCCCTCCCTCCCTCCCTGCCATCGAGTTGATTCCGGCTCACAGCGCCCTTATAGGACAGAGGAGGCCTGCCCCTGGGGTTTCAGACTGAAAGTCTTTGCAAGGGTACGTAGAAAGCCCCATCTCAGTCCCGTGGTGTGTGGTGGCTTCAAGCTGCTGACCTTGAACTTGGCAGCCCAAGCCGCCACCCACTCCGTCACTGGGAGGCTAGGCGTCTGAATTCAGGTGTCCGCTGTGGGGGAGGTTTTAGAGGAAGGTCCTTGTCCTTTCAGCACCTGTGGGCTGGCATTTCTTGGAGATCTCCGTGTGTGTTGGTACGCACGGAGCTGGTAGGGGACCTACTCCCACCAGAAAGAAGAGGCCGGAGAAGAGCTCGTCCTTCGCACGTTGGAGTCCCAGCGCTGAGAGCCTCCTACACCCCAGGAAGATGGATACCAAGACACAACCTGGCACCAGGCTCAGACAACTCCACACAGGGGGTCACGGTCTCTGCTCCCCTGGGTCCACTCCAAAGATGGTTAATGACCAGTCTGAAACACTGACTCGGGAGACATCTCATGGCCCCAGCACATGGATGTTTGAGAAGCCAGGTCAATGTCCCCCAACTCCACTCCAAAGATGGTTAATGACCAGTCTGAAACACTGACTCGGGAGACATCTCATGGCCCCAGCACATGGATGTTTGAGAAGCCAGGTCAATGTCCCCCAACTAGGGCCCAATATGGACTTCCTTTCCCAAGTCCTCAGCTCTCCTGGAATTCCAGGCACTCGCACGTCGCCCAGTCCTTGCACTTCTGGCTCATGGGAGGTTAGAAATGGTCACATGAGTGAACATCTTTGGAACTCAAAAGGTGGTTTGCATAACCGAGATGAGGAAGGAGGCTGTAGACATGGAGGCAGTGTAGTCCTTGCAGCCAAAACCTCGCTGCCATTGAGTTGCTTCTGACTCCCAGCAACGTCATAGGAGCAGCAGCCTTATAGGAGTGGGGAGCACTGCCTCTGGGGGTTCCAAGACTGTGACTGTAAGAGTAGAAAGCCTCATCTTTCTCCTGGGGAGCGGCTGGTGGTTTCAACCTTCTGACTTGCGGTTAGCAGCCCAATGCGTAAACACTAGGTCACCAGGGCTCCTCTGGCCCTTACAGCAGACTTTGGGAATTAGAAGCTGGGCATGCGTCTTGGTGGGCAAGGCAGTTGGGCACCCATTACTCTGGGAAGGACATCAAGGGAGCTTCCTGGGCCCACAGAATTCCCCCCTAACCTTGGGGTCTTGGTGTGCAGGCATCCGCCCCCACCCCACCAGTCCCCACCCCCCAGGAAGGAGGTGATCAAATTTACAAACAAGAAGGCAAGTGAGAATACTAGCCTCTTACTTTAACGCTGTGAGCTCCTCCCAGCAAGCGGGAGTAGTTGACCTGGGTCTGACATCAGGGAAAACTCCCCAAATCCCAAGGAACGGGACAGGTCTCACCAGGTTTTCTTCAGAGGAGCAGGAAGGCACTGCCAAAGCTTGCCCCCCCCCCCTTCCATCCCCAACCATAAACAAAACCGGGAGGTGGAGGGGGACCCAAAGGGGAAGCTTTCCCAACCGGCTGGCTGGTCCTCACTTGTAGATCTCCTCCGCTTTCTCCTTGACCTTGGACTGATCTCCATACTTCAGGTCCTCACAGGCTTCCCAGAATCCCAGGTTCTCCCCTGCATGGAGAGCAGGGGCCCACAGAGATGAAAACCAGGCAGGAAGCAAGCAGGGAGAAGAAAAGAGGAAAGAAAGGGTCAGTGGGGGGGGGACTTCTGCACCCCGGCTTGGGGAACAGTGTCTCTTCGGCAAAGCAACGCAGCGCCCGGACTAGGTTGGCTGGTCCAGCAGAGACTGGGAGAACCTTGGTGTCTGAGACTGGGACCGAACTCACCCTCTGGCTCAAATAACAGCCAAATGATAGACAGGCCTAGAAAGCGAACACCATTGGGAAGGTACAGACTCCTTAGAACGAGCCACCACTGGAGGCCCCATGGGGCAGCACTGGCCAGGAGACCCACCTCCAAAGGCAGGAAGAGGTAGGAGGGAAGGACAAAGTGGGAACAGTGCACATGGGGAGGGAGGGGGGAGCCAAAGGGCTGTTCCACTATAGCAGTGGTCCTCAACCTTCCGAATACAGTTCCTCATGCTGTGGTGACCCCCAGCCATAAAATTATTTCCGTTGCTACTTCATAACTGTAATCTTGCTACTGTTATGAATCATCATGTAAATAGCTGATATGCAGGATGTATTTTCATTGCTACAACTTGAACATAAGTAAACATAATTAAAGCATAGTGATGAATCACAAAGCAGTAGGTAATTGTACACTGTGAAATATTTAGGTGTTTTCCGATGGTCTTAGGCGACCCCTGTGAAAGGGTCGTTCGACCCCAAAGGGGTCGTGACCCACAGGTTGAGAACTGCTGCACTACAGGGATCCCAAGCAATCCCATCCCACACAATGCAAATGAATTGCTGCATGGAAAAGCCCACCACCTCTGGCAAATTTCACTCCGATCGCAAAATAAACAAGCACAAGCCACCCAGCAGCCTGAAGAGGTGAGGCAGGACCCTTCTGGAGGCACCGGATTTGGGCTTCTGTGAAAGCTTCTTGTATTTCAGACAGGAGAAGACTTAACCTTGACACAACCTTGCTTGCTGAAAGCGAGGAGGACTTGGAGCGCTTGCTGATGGAGCACAAGGACTGCCGCCTTCCGTATGGACACAATTCAAGGTGAAGAAGACCGAAAGCCTTGCAACTGGACCAGTGGGTGACATCATGATCCATGGAGAAAAGTGGGGAGTTGTCCAGGGTGTGGTCTCACTTGGGTGCACCATCAGTGCGCATGGAAGCAGCAGGCAAGGGATTGCCCAGCGAATTGCACCAGGGCCTCTTTAAAGTCTTGAAAAGCAAGTTCGTTTCATGCAAGACCAAGGTGCTCCTGGCCCAAGCCGTGATGTTTTCGATCACCTCCTATGCAGGTAAGAGGGGGACGTTGAAGAAGGAAGACCAAAGAAGGATCGATGCCTTTGAGTGGCAGCGCCATGGCCGGCCAAAAGGACCGACAGAACTGACTTAGAAGAGGTCCAGCTCGATGTAACAACGATGAGAAGTACAACTTTCCTCTGGTTCCTAAATGTTTCCTCCCCGCTCCCACTACCATGACTCGAATCCGACCTTTCAAGTCTGGCTAGACCAGAGGAGGTACACTGGTACAGATAGGAACTGGAAATACAGGGAATCCAGGGCGGATGAGCCCTACAGGACCAGTGGTGTGAGTGGCGAAACAGGGAGGGTAGAGGGAGAGTGGGTAGGAAAGAAGGAACCGGTTACAAGGAACTATATGTGACTTCCTCCCTGGGGGACAGACAACCGAAAAGTGGGTGAAGGGAGACGTTGGACAGGTCAAGATATGACAAAATACCAATTTATAAACTATCAAGGGCTCATGAGGGAGGGGGGAGCGGGGAGGGAGGGGAAAAATGAGGACCTAATGCCGGGGGTTTAAGTGGAGAGAAAATGTTTTGAGAATGATGAGGGCAATGAATGTACAAATGCGCTATACACAATTGATGTGTATATGGATTGTGATAACAGTTGTATGAGCCCCTAATAAAATGTTTAAAAAAAAAAAAAGTCCAGCTAAGTGCTCCTTAGAAGCCAGGATGGGGGAGACTTTGTCTCACACACTTTGGACACGTTATCGGCCGAGCCCAGTCCCTGGAAAAGGACATCATGCTTGATAAAGTGGGGGGACAGAGGAAAAGAGGGAGCCCCTCGACAAGAGGGATCAACAGTGGCTGCAACCATGGGCTCAAACATAAGAATGACGATGAGGCTGGCAGAGGGTAGGGGTGGAGAAGTGTGCCAGTCTCTTGTACAGAGTCGCTATGAGTGACCCAACAGCAGGCAATGGTAAACCAGTGGGCATCTGTCAGTCACTTCAAAGAGGTTCTTCTCCATGAACTTCAGGGCATTCACAGCCCTGCGATCCCTGACGTGAGTCAGCGGCCAACCGGCTGCCCACCAAGTGCAAGGCAGTCCGTCTTGCCTCTAGCCAAAGGCAGTGGCTTGCTATGTGTTGAAATGAAAGGTGCACATTAGAGTGTGTGCACCAGTGTTCACGGCGGCATCGTTCAGATAGTCAAATCCACCCCAACGCCCGCCACCTGATGAATGGAGAAGCAAGCATGATGTAGCCGGACTCTTCGGTCACAAAAGGCATTAAGTGTGGATACCTGCTACCACTGGGATGAACCTGGAGGACATATGAATATTGTAATACAAGATGAAGACGAAAGGTCGTAGGGTGGACACGCCTGTATATATGAACAATGGGCTCAGACACAGTCCCTGTGAGGAAGACCCTGGACCGGGCAACATTCCCTTTGGTTGTACAAAAGGGCACTAGGAGGTGACTGGATGGCACCTGAGGTAGTTAAAGTTTATTGTGCCAACCTGGCCGATAAACACATGTGGAGTTAATTGAAGAGCAGAGGGATAAATGGCTCGGTGAGCCTCGTCTTTTGAGTTCTCGGGTCTCTTGCTCTCTGATAGTCGGACCAGGGTGTAGCTGCCTTAGCCAGTTCCCTACTTCAGCTGACAAGGCTCACTTCCTGCAAGACATCCCTGAGGAGAAGCCACATGGGCCTACCCCAATGTAGCCCTGGGTGCTGGAGCAGCCGTGTGGAGACCCCTGCCAGCGTTGAGATGCTTACATGTTCACTGACTCGGCTTACCTCCTGCAGTTGGCATCATTGCGTGTGTTTTGTGAGATGGAGGAGGACTTTGTGGATTGGTGTCGGACATATGGGTTAATGTTGGACTTGTGGGCTTGGGCAGCACTGGGTCAGGATATTTTCTTGATGTACACTTGCCCTTTATATCAAACTCTCTCTTATGAGTTTCTGTGGATTTGTTTCTCTAATGTCCCCAGACTAACACAGTATCTAACAACAGCAATGAGGGCAGAAGGGTGGGGCAGGTGGAGAGTCACTTCCAATGGCTATAGGCTCTCTTATCTCTGAAGAGGAGCAGGCAGTAAGGGTGAAAAAAAATGTTCTTGAACTAAAATTGCCCAACTTCCTGAGTAGACTATAAAACCCCTGAATTTTATATTTTAAAGGGGTGAGTTTTGTGGTCAGTAAATTACATTTTATATATTAAAAACAATTATTCTTATGTTCTAGGTTTTATCAGCAAGCTAGTTATTTGTCTGCCTCATACCCGAAGCTTCGGGAGTCTTGGGGAAAGGTTGACATGAGTATGATTTTAATGATCCAGGGATTTGCTGTTCTTTCCGTTTTAATTATTCGGAAGGTTGCTCTTTTTTTTAATTAAAAAAATTAAAATGTAAAGAACAAAATGTGAAACATAGGCATAGATATGGAGCAATTAGAACTGACCTCTATTTGTGGGAATGTAAATTGGTACAACGACGTTGCCCAATGGGTGTTATCTACTAAAATTGGACTTAAGCATTTTCCAAAATAAGCCCTGAGCATTCCAAAATAAATCCCAAGAGCAATCTACATAAATTTGCTTACATACTGAAGACATGGACAAAAACATTCATAACGGCATAATTTATAAAAGACAAAATTTTAAAATAATCTAAGTGCCTATCAACACTATAATGGATCAATAAATGGTAACATATTTATACACTACAAATAAAATACAGAAAAATTGTAATATATATATCCAGGGACCTTCCGGCTGGTGGGTGCTTTCTGGGTGGGTGGAATAAACAGTCCTTGGCTGGTGGTAACAGTTGACACGCAGCATCTGTGTGGGAGGAGAAGCCGTGTGTCTCTTGAGAAATGGAAGGTGATGGATTCGAACTGCCCACCTTGTGGTTTGCAGATCAACATGCCCCCCACTACGCCAACAGGGCTCCTTAGCAGGTAGTGCACGCGGCTGTTAACCCAGGAAGGCATCTTGGAAGAAGGTCTCGCCATTTACGTCCACTGAAAGCTCAACTGAGCGCCTTCTACTAGAGCACACGTGGGGTTGCTGGGCGTGGACGTGACTGACTGGTGGCAATTGATGTTTCCGCCAGGGTGGGTGTGAAAAGCTCGGGGTGTCATTTGCCAAGTGCCCACTAGATGGAACCCGCGCTCTTGGCTGCCGTCTGCTTCTGGCCCATCCCGGTTCCATCTTTTCAGAGGTTTATGAGATCATGGCAATTAGGCTTGATTAGGGTGAAGGCCTTCCAGCCAGCCATATCATAATGTAATATTCTGCAACAAGCAAACAGGCTAATGGCACGTCAAGTTCAATTAGCCACAGGGACAACCCACTCCATAGACAAGAGGCTGTTGGCTGGTAGGCAGCTTGAGTATCAAGGCTCAGAGGCAACGCAGTGCCCCCCTCCCCCCTCCCTCCGGGCTGGAGACTCAGTGGGAATTTTAATGAGCCGCATGAAAGCAACGATCTCAACACAGGTGGCGAGGCTGCCTGAGCGTCCGGCCCAGTGGACTTGATGGGCACCGTGTCATTAAGAAGTCACAAGTGCCCACCCCAGTGAGACATCCAGGGCCCTGCCCATTCGTTATGGCTCTCTCTCTCTCTCTCTCTCTCTC